GGTAACTAGGGATCCCAGGGCAGCTAGTTTTCTGTTCCAGCGGCTCAGTGCGGCTGTTCAAAGGGGTAATGCATGCTGCATTTTGGGCACACGCCCCAGCTCTGATGAGCTGGATGAGATTTTCGCCTTATAATCGGTGATACACACGTAACAACATGTACCGTATATGCCACCTTTATATCAACAATGTATCTCTTAAATCTTCTGTGCCATATTATGTAATAAAATATTCCTATTGGTAAAAAAAAATAGTTTAAAAGATGGGGTGGTAGGGGAAGTGGAATATTCAAATGGCTTCAGGAAGAAATCCAAATATTCTTCCTTGAAGCCTTTTTATCCACTTCTCCGAGGCTAAAGGTTCAGTTATTCAGTATTTATTTGGTTTTGAGTGAGTAAGTGATCTTTGAGAAGAGACTTGAATTTATAAACAGGTAGTGTTTCTTTTATATTTACAGGTAATGAATTCCAGATTTTAGGGCCTTTTATGTGCATTGAGTTTTTGCATAGCGTGAGATGGACACGAGGAACATCAAAGAGTGATCTGTGCCTTGTGTTATGGTCATGTGTTCTGTTGAGGTTGGCAAGGAGATGTTTGAGGGGAGGGTTAATATCAGAGTTAAGTGTTCTATGTATGTAATAGGTGCAATAATAAGTATGGATGTTTTGTATGGTGAGTAGGTTGAGTGTTTTGAATATTGGTGGAGTGTGTTGCCTGTAGTGAGAATTTGTTATCATTCTAACTGCAGCCTTTTGTTGGGTAATTAGTGGTCTGAGATGGTTACTTGTTGTTGAGCCCCATGCACAAATTCCATAGGTGAGATAGGGGTAAATAAGAGAGTGATAAAGGGCCAGGAGGGCTGACTGGGGAACATAGTACCGTATCTTCGATAGTATGCCTACAGTTTACCTGGAGTTTACCTGGAGAGAGTTCCGGGGGTCAACGCCCCCGCGGCCCGGTCTGTGACCAGGCCTCCTGGTGGATCAGAGCCTCATCAACCAGGCTGTTGCTGCTGGCTGCATGCAAACCAACGTACGAGCCACAGCCCGGCTGATCAGGAACCGACTTTAGGTGCTTGTCCAGTGCCAGCTTGAAGACTGCCAGGGGTCTGTTGGTAATCCCCCTTATGTGTGCTGGGAGGCAGTTGAACAGTCTCGGGCCCCTGACACTTATTGTATGGTCTCTTAACGTGCTAGTGACACCCCTGCTTTTCATTGGGGGGATGTTGCATCGTCTGCCAAGTCTTTTGCTTTCGTAGTGAGTGATTTTCGTGTGCAAGTTCGGTACTAGTCCCTCTAGGATTTTCCAGGTGTATATAATCATGTATCTCTCCCTCCTGCGTTCCAGGGAATGCAGGTTTAGGAACCTCAAGCGCTCCCAGTAATTGAGGTGTTTTATCTCCGTTATGCGCGCCGTGAAAGTTCTCTGTACATTTTCTAGGTCGGCAATTTCACCTGCCTTGAAAGGTGCTGTTAGTGTGCAGCAATATTCCAGCCTAGATAGAAAGTGACCTGAGAGTGTCATCATGGGTTTGGCCTCCCTAGTTTTGAAGGTTCTCATTATCCATCCTGTCATTTTTCTAGCAGATGCGATTGATACAATGTTATGGTCCTTGAAGGTGAGACCCTCCGACATAATCACTCCCAGGTCTTTGACGTTGGTGTTTCGCTCTATTTTGTGACCAGAATTTGTTTTGTACTCTGATGAAGATTTAATTTCCTCATGTTTACCATATCTGAGTAATTGAAATTTCTCATCGTTGAACTTCATATTGTTTTCTGCAGCCCACTGAAAGATTTGGTTGATGTCCGCCCTGGAGCCTTGCAGTGTCTGCAATTTGGAAGACATTGTCATGCAGATTCGGGTGTCATCTGCAAAGGAAGACCACGGTGCTGTGGCTGACATCCTTGTTATGTGGATATGAGGATGAGGAACAAGATGGGGCAAAGTACTGTGCCTTGTGGAACAAGCTTTTCACCGTAGTGCCTCGGACTTTATTGTTACGACTACTCTCTGTGTTCTGTTAGTGAGGAATTTTTAGTTTCTTTCGACCGATTTTCCTTGTTATCCTTTAGCACGCTTTTTTGCGCTATTACGCCATGTCACTTGTCGAAGGCTTTTGGCAAAGTTTTGTATATATTACATCTGCATTCTTTTGTCTTCTAGTGCATTTAGGACCTTGTCTTTAGTGATCCAATAGTTGGGGACAAAAGGGCGACCTGTTCTAAACCCATGTTGCCGGGTTGTGTAACTGTGGGTTCTAGATGGTGGTGCTTGCTTCTTAGGACCCTTTCAAAGATTTTTATGATGGGATGTTAGTGCTATTGGTTTTAGTTCTTTGCTGTTGCTTTACTGCCCCCTTTGTGGAGTGGGGCTATGTCTGTTGTTTTTAGTAATGTGGGACGACCCCCGTGTCCCTGCTCCCTCTCCATAGGATGGAAAAGGCTCGTGATAGGGGCTTCTTGCAGTTCTTGATGAACACAGTTACATGAGTCTGGCCCTGGGGCAGAGTGCATGGGCCTGTCATTTATCGCCTGTTCGAAGTCATTTTGGGGTTTAGGATAAACACCGGATAGGCTTGTGTTAATCAAATTTTGTGGCGCTCTCATAAAAATTCATTTTGATCTTCGACTCTCAGTCTGGTTAGCGGCTTGCTAAAAAACTGAGTCATATTGGGGACTTGGTTTGCTCACTCATTTCCTTGCTGTCATCTGTGAAGGACCCCTCTTTTTAAGTAGGGGCCCAATACTGGACGTTGTTCTCGATTTTGATTTGGCATAGGAGAAGAAATATTTTGGGTTTCTTTCGATTTCATTTATGGCTTTTAGTTCTTCCCATGATTCCTGACTCCTAAAGGATTCTTTTAGCTTAAGTTCGATGCTTGCTATTCTCTGACCGTGTCTCCCTACGCATTTCAGATATAATGACCTCTTTTAGCCGCTCTGTTATTCTTTTCCGTCGCCTGTAAAGGGAGCGCCTGTCTCTTTCTATTTTACATCTACTCCTCCTTGTGCATACATCGAGTGCCACCGAGTTAATCTGTTCTAGGCATAAGTTGGGGTCTGTGTTGCTTAGTATATCTTCCAGCTTATATCGGTTAGGACTTGGTTTTACTTGGTCCACTTTATGTTTTTGTTATTGAAGTTGAATTTGGTGAATGCTCCCTCGTGACTAGTCTCATTATGTCGGTCTGGGGCTCCACGCATACGTGTCTGAACCTCAATTATGTTGTGATCTGAGTATATTGTTTTTGATATGTGACATTTCTTATCAGATCATCATTGTTAGTGAAGATGAGGTCTAGTGTATTCTCCAGTCTAGTACGCTCTTTTATTTGCTGGTTTAAATTGAATTTTGTGCAGAGATTTAAAAGCTCGTGTGAGTGTGAGTTTTCATCAGAGCTGCCTCCTGGTGTTATTACTGCAACAATATTATTTGCTATATTCCTCCATTTTAGGTGCCTTAAGTTGAAATCCCCCAGGAGCAAGATGTTGGGTGCAGGAGCTGGAAGATTTTCCAGACAGTGGTCAATTTTTAACAGCTGTTCCTGGAATTGCTGGGATGTTGCATCCGGAGGCTTGTAGACTACCACAATGACTAGGTTTTGGTTCTCGACCTTTACTGCTAAAACTTCCACTACATCATTTGAGGCATTAAGCAGTTCTGTGCAAACAAGTGACTCTGCAATGTACAGGCCAAACCCCCCCCCCCCTCTTTTGCCTGTTCACTCTGTCACATCTGTATAGGTTGTAACCTGGGATCCATATTTTGTTGTCCAAGTGATCCTTTATGTGGGTCTCAGTGAAAGCCGCGAACATTGCCTTTGCCTCTGCAAGCAGTCCACGGATGAAAGGTATTTTGTTGTTTGTTGCTGGCTTCGAGAGAGAGAGACTCAGCAATCAACATTTGCACCAATAACTCACTACAGTTGTGACCGGGTGTGGAAGTGTGAATTGCTCATTACTCTAAAATTTGTTCATGATTGCAGCCATGTATAAACGTAAGTAACCATTCTTACAGTATTCATTACCTTTGTAACTTGTGAGTTCATTACCTTTGTAACTTGTGAGTTCATTACCTTTGTAACTTGTGAGTTCATTACCTTGTACCTAGTTCAGCCATCAAAACTTTGGAGCCCGGTCCCTGGACCCATTGTGTATCTCTGTAATCTGTAAATACCTTTGTAACTTGTCATGATTGTGAGTAGACCTACCTGGAGTTCATTACTATTGTAAATTGTGAGTTCATTACCTTTGTAAATTGTGAATTCATTACCTCTGTAACTTGCTCAGCTATCAAAACTTTGAGGCCCAGTCCCTGGACCCATTATGTACCTCTGTAATCTTTTGACTACCGCCCACAGGATGGGTATGGGGTGCATAATAAACATATTAAACTTAACTTAAAAACTTCAGACCCTGTATATTTGCAAAGCAGAATGTTATCGGACTGGTGGTATTGTTGGTACTGGGGGGGGGGGGATTTTTTTTGCGGCATTAGTATCTGTATCTGTTGGTTTGGAGTGGAGGCCATCGACTGTGGTTCCACTCCAGGAAATTGAAATAAATGAAAAAATATATCTTAAACGCAAAAAAGAAAAGTTTAGAAAGGACTTATTTTTAAATATGTACTTGCTAAGTGACCAGTTTTACCTATTCGGCACGACGTTATATATATATATATATATATATATATATATTATATAATATATATATATATATATATATATATATATATATATAATATATATATATATATAATGTTACTATTCAATTATTTTTAGAAATCAGAATATATTCGGTGAAGTTTATAAATAAATAAATAAATAAATAAATAAAAAAGTTTTAGTAGAATGTGTTTATACTTATATACAAATGTACTGAAAATAAATAATTATGATGATGGAGGATGGCGGGAGATTGATGCCAATGATTCACATTTTCTTATTTTTTTATTTATTGATTGACTGATTCAGTATGTGGGAGTATATGTAGTAATATATTGTAGTATATGATGGAGACATTGATTGTGGTGGAGAGCGGTGGTGGAGAGTGGTGGTGGTGTGGGCGGCAGCAACGCCACCCAGTCACACAAAGATGCCACCCAAGTCATCCAGGTCCACCAGGACCCTCATAGACGAATTCTGCTCCATCACTGGTAACTTGAGTTAACTTTAAGTTGGTGTTATAGTTGTATGTGTTGCTGGGGGGGGGGAGAGGCTACCTTACTAATGGATACTTTGATCTGTTTTTTTTAATGTGAGTTTATCAGGTACAGCTGAACTACAGAAACACCTTCACTTATATTTACTAATATTATGACCTCTTAAAAAGTCATTAGCAGTATGCTAAAAATAAATCGTGTATAAATATGCTATTTATTCCAACTCTTAATTCCACTTGAAACAAACACTCGTGTAATCCCTAAATACTTATGAAATGTGCTGTAGCTAATTATATTTTTTACAGATTTTTTTTATGGTAAAGTTCACAAAACAGTAATGAAATTCTCTTCCATACAGAGCTTAAAAAAAATCACATTGTAATTTAATAATTCCCCGGGTATGAAATTTTTGTTTACCATTGTTTTATTTTAACATCCTGTGGAAAAATCTTGATACATTACCATTGTAATCTTACAGTAATATTATGGTCCTAATGTCCATCTGGGACCATAAGAATAAAGTAATTCAGCAGTGGTGTCACGGGGCCCATGCTAGACTACACTTACTGGGTTAACAATGTTTATTGTGAGTATTTTTAACCCCGAGAATTAGCCATCCAGGATAACCCAGTGAAGTGAGTTGTCACACTTGTTCTCTTTACACTGAGGTCTTTGAGTCTCCCCAGGATGCCACCCACACCAGTGCACTAACCCAGGTACCTACTTACTGCTAGGTAAACAGGGGCAGCAGGTATAAGGAAATATGTTCAACACACCAGTCATTAACCATTTATTCATTTTATTTTATTTTTTAAATTTTTAATATTAAGTTGTCACTTTTTTGGACATATAGAGCCAAGCATTAAGCTGACACTTTTTTGGATATATAGAGCCAAGCATTAAGCTGACACTTTTTTGGATGTGAGCTGAGCTTTTGCACACTTTTCTTGCATGGTTTTGTTCACCTGAGCCAATATATAAGATAACACAATAGTACAGTACAGGTTGGCATTAATTTCACCGGTGAGATTGGCGGTGACCTGGTAGGCAAAGTTCTTGCTTTACACGCTGGGGGTCCGTGGTTCGGTTCCCGGCAAGGTTGAAACGTTGGGCGTGTTTCCTTACACCTGTTGTCCCTGTTCACCCATCAGTAAAATAGGTACCTGGGTGTTAGTCGACTGGTGTGGGTCACATCCTGGGACAAAATTAACCTAATTTGGCCAAAATGCTCTGCGTAACAAGAGGCTTTCCCTATAGAAGTATGTCATTGATGTCAGCTAGGCCTGTATACCTTATATGTGTACTTGTAAAAATTAAGATTATATTATTGTTATTGTGTGGCATCATAAGTGCTCATTTCAGCATGATTGCTACAGATATGCACGACAAGGACATCATTATTCTCTTTTTGTGCCAGAATACATTTAGGTTGAGATTAGTTCTGTTAGGATAAGTTAGGTAAGAGTAAATACAATATAGTCATTTAACAGCAAGTTGGTCTATCAATTTACAAACATGGGATTCAGCTAGGTATGCTGGAGCAAATGTAATTTAGTGGACTCCTGTTGTTAGTTAAACTACATCAAGATGAATCTTTAACAAGACTCCCAAGTTAATAATGAAAAATAAAGGTAGCAATGGTGGTTGTATTATTCATACCAATGGTGTGCATCCACCTGCACCACATTATCACTAAGTAGAAAATAATAGTGACTGCATGTTTTTTTTTTACCTGTTAACTATATTTATTTTTTTTTTTTTTATTATCACACCGGCCGATTCCCACCAAGGCAGGGTGGCCCGAAAAAGAAAAACTTTCACCATCATTCACTCCATCACTGTCTTGCCAGAAGGGTGCTTTACACTACAGTTTTTAAACTGCAACATTAACACCCCTCCTTCAGAGTGCAGGCCTGTACTTCCTTTCTCCAGGACTCAAGTCCGGCCTGCCGGTTTCCCTGAATCCCTTCATAAATGTTACTTTGCTCACACCCCAAACGCACGTCAAGTTTAACAACCATTTGTCTCCATTCACTCCTATCAAACACGCTCCGCTTGCCTGGGAAGTCAAGCCCTCGCACAAAAACCCCCTTACCCCTCCCCCCAACCCCTTCCTGGCCCCGCCCCCTCCCCGCCTTTTCACTTCGACTGATCACTCTTGAAGTCATTTGTTTCGTCCATTCTTTACATGTCCAAAACCCACCTCAAAAACCCCTTCCCTCAGCCTTGGACAACGTTTTGGTAACCCGCACCTCCCCCAAAATTTCCCAAAAACTACAAATTTCTGATTATTTACCCCAACATTCCCCTCGACATGACATCCCCACTCCCTCCAGCCTTCCCCTGCAACATTCATCACCCACGCTTAACCCAAAAAGGGGTTTGGTTTAAAAAACTATACTTTACATTCCCCTTTTTTGCCTCCAAAGGACAAAGTTTTTTGTCCCACGCTCCTAAGTGCACCACTCATTTTTTCCCTCTCAATTCTATGATTCACCTCATCTTTCATGACCCCTCCGCTGACAGTCCACTCCCCAAAAATCTGAATCGTTTACCTCCCCTACTTCTCCCTCCCAAACTGTATTCATTTTTCTACCTAATCTTTTTGTTATCCTCATAACTTACTTTTCCTGTATTCACCCTTTTTAAATTTTTTTCTTTTGCACACCCTACCAAATTCTCCCCAAACTCTGAACTTCTCTTCAGAATCTCCCAAGAGACAGTGTCATCAGCAAAGAGCAGCTTGACAACTCCCACTTTGTGTGTGATTTTTTTATTTTTTAACTCCACGCTCTTGCCAGACCCTCGCATTTATTTTTACAACCCCCTCTATAAATATATTAAACAACCCGGGGTGACACCCAACATCCTTGTCTAAGGCCTACTTTTTGGGAAAAAATTTCCTCTTTCCTACAACTCTAACTTGAGCCTCACTATCCTAAAAAACTCTTTTGCTTTCGTAACCCACCTCTAACCATACACTTTCAACTTTGCCACATTGCCCCCCCATCCACCCGTCATAGCCTTTTCCCAAAACCCTAAAGCCACAAAGAACCCCTTTCCCCCTTTTTAAATTGTTCACTTATTTTTTTCACTGTAAACACCTGGTCCACACACCCCCTACCTTTCCCTAAAGCCTCCTTGTTCATCTGCTACCCTATTCTCCGTCTTACTCTTAATTCTTTCAATTATAACTCTACCATACACTTTACCAGGTACACTCAACAGACTTATCCCCCTATAATTTTTGCACTCTCTTTTATCCCATTTGCTTTATACAAAGGAACTATGCATGCTCTCTGCAATCCCTAGGTACCTTACCCTCTTCCATACATTTATTAAAAAATTTGCACCAACCACTCCAAAAACTATATCCCCACCGGGCTTTTAACATTTCTATCTTTATCCCATCAATCCCGGCTGCCTTCCCCCCTTTCATTTTACCTACTGCCTCACGAACTTCCCCCACCACTACAATGGCTTTCCTCACTCCTAAAGTGTATTCCTCCTTGCCCTATACACGAAATCACAGCTTCCCTATCTTCATCAACATTTAACAATTCCTCAAAATATTCCTTCCATCTTCCCAATACCTCTAACTCTCCATTTAATAACTCTCCTCTCCTATTTTTAACTGACAAATCCATTTGTTCTCTAGGCTTTTCTTAACTTGTTAACTCACTCCAAAACTTTTTTTATTTTCAACAAAATTTGTTGATAACATCTCACCCACTCTCTCATTGCTCTCTTTTACATTGCTTCACCACTCTCTTAACTTCTCTCTTTTTTCCCCATATACTCTTCCCTCCTTGCATCACTTCTACTTTTTTAAAAACTTCTCATATGCTAACTTTTTCTCCCTTACTACTCTCTTTACATCATCATTCCACCAATCGCTCCTCTTCCCTCCTGCACCCACTTTCCTGTAACCACAAACTTCTGCTGAACACTCTAACACTACATTTTTAAACCTACCCCATACCTCTTCGACCCCATTGCCTATGCTCTCATTAGCCCATCTATCCTCCAATAGCTGTTTATATCTTACCCTAACTGCCTCCTCTTTTAGTTTATAAACCTTCACCTCTCTCTTCCCTGATGCTTCTATTCTCCTTGTATCCCATCTACCTTTTACTCTCAGTGTAGCTACAACTAGAAAGTTAACTATATTTGTATCCCATAAAAAAATAAAAATTTGTACTTGTATTTTAAAATGGACAAAAGCACTTAGGTAAATTGTACTTTTAACTCCTTTATTCTCAATGTTTATTGCACTATAACTGCAAATTACATGTACAGTACTATACTACAGTATATTATGTGTACACATACATCCTCTCCCATCCCTATTAGTCCATTAAATCAGGGCTTTATAGTGGTTTGTAGCCCATGCCTTTCATCCAATAAAGTCGGTGCATCATCGGGGACTGTCTTATTTCCATTAGGGTCATTTAATTTTGTCCCCAAGATGCAACCCACAACAGTCGATTAACACCCAGGTACTTGCTGCAAGGTGAACAGGAAAACCAGGTGTATACCTGGAGAGAGTTCCAGGGGTCAACACCCCTGTGGCCTGGTCTGTGACCAGGCCTCATGGTGGATCAGGACCTGATCAACCAGGCTATTACTGCTGGCCGCACATAATCCAATGTACGAGCCACAACCCGGCTGGTCAAGTACCGACTTTAGGTGCCTGTCCAGTGCCTGCTTGAAGACAGCCAAGGGTCTATTGGTAATTAATTCCCCTGATGTGTGATGGGAGACAGTTGAACAGTCTTGGGCCCCTGACACTTATTGTGTTGTCTCAGTGCCCTTGCTGGGGATCGAACCAGAGACCCCTCAGTATGTGAGCTGAGTGCACTATCAATAATATTAATAATTGAGCATTTACTGAAAGACATAAAATTAAAATTTAATGCATGTTAGGTTGCAATTTAACTTCAAAAGAATTAAATGCTAAATATGGAAGTACATGTAATGCAATAACTAAGGTT